ATTGTTTAGGCACTCAAATTCATTCTTTTAACTGGAAAATAAAATTTTAAACTCTCCCTATAGCTCGTGCCTAACTCCCAACAAGGGCAAAAAAAAAAAAGAGAAGCCATCACACCTGAATATAAACTTCACTTTTTTGTTCTTTGCCATTTATTCCATATACTCCACAGATAACATCTTTACAAGCATATATTCATTTTTTCCTTTTACAAAACCATGTGTCAGTCTAAACAGGATGTGCATTTACATGTATAGCACTAAGTTAACTTGAAATAACCACTGGATCTCAAATGCCCAGTTATTTACCAAATACCTTTGAGAGTTCTGAACCCTGTATATAACATGCCATTCAACCAGAACTGTTTAAGCTCAACAACAAAACTAGTTCAGGGTTTCTGTATGAAGAGTTGAAGCTCTTTTTTCATACATTAAGTGTTTACTCTTTCAAGTCTCTGTCAGATTGGTTCATTATTGCCTATTCAAAAAGGCTCCAAAAAGAGATTTTTAAAAACCCACAAACAAATAAAAACCTCTATTCATTTTTTATGTATAAGGTTGTTAGAAGACCACTGGAAAGAAGAAAAAAAAAAAAAGAATTTCAAGCAAGTATGCTAGTATATAATTAACACAAATAACTAAATAATTATGCACATCCCTTCCCACCCCCACAAGTAAATGTTTTTAAACAACTCATCTGATGAAAGATCTACCTTTTAGGCAAACAAAAGCAATCCCTACCAGTTTAAGGATTTCAGGCTGTATTGCATCAGTTTTAAGTGATGCTCATGATTTTTATCTTGTATAGTTCTGAGGAGTAAACAGTTGATGACATAATTAGCAGGAGAACTTTGCACAATGCCTGACAGAACTTTGTGTAAGTACTTATGATTTTAAGTCATTGTGGCTGAATTTATCTAGGCTTCAGCCTGGGAGCTATATTTAAATCAGGAACAAGCACCCCCAGAAACTCTGTCCCATGGATCTGCATTGGGAACCGGATTCCTTCCCTGTCACAGCTAACAGCAAGCAGTTCACAGCACAGCCGAGTTCCTTCAAAATTAGATCAAAATTCAGCCGTTCTGTAAAGACCCTAAGAAACTGTTCTTCTTTTATATTCTATAAAAGTCAAACCTAAAAAACATTTCTGTATACTTTAAAACCATCTGGTGCTTAACCTAATCACTCTTGGCAATCGAGCCTCAGTCCTGTAATCCTGATCAAAAACTGCTCTGGTTTTTCTGATAGAAATGTCCACTGCCTATGAATCTCCCACGCGTCTACTTCATTGGCCTGTTTTGTTTGTGTGGGTTTTTTTTTTTTTTTTAAAGGATACTAGGGGACATTATTTATGAGCATCAAGGAAACAAATCACTCTGTCTAGTCCCTTTGCAGATTCCCACACTTATTACCCAAAATCCCACAGATCTCCCTCCGTCTTGCCCTTGACTGAGGAGCTGTGCTGAGCCTGCAGGCAGCCTCTGGGGGAATGGGCTCATGCCTTTCTGGACAACTCCTTGGGATCTCTGGATATTGTGAGGATCTCAGCCGGGACAGCACAGATGCCTCAACTTTTCTGAAGAAGTGCAGCTGACCGCCACCCAGAGTGCCTGGGCTGGCAGACACTGAGAATATCGCCCTGGATGTTCACAGAACTCCTCATTTTGACCTGCCTTCGTGGAGAAGGGAAGACATGGACGTAAACTCACATTCCCCACACTCCGAATTTACCCCGAGGCCCACCTCTTCAGACGCCCCCCGGGTCAAACTACCCATTAATAGAGTCGCTCTGCAAAGTGTAGGGAAAATTACTATTGAAACATGTAACTAGTGCTTCGCGCGCCTTCGGTGACAGCAGATCCATAGGCAAGAAACTGCGGCGATCGAATGGAAACATTTCCAAACCCAGTTCGGTTTAAACTCGTATAACCTCTTAGTTTATCACCGAAGCCCCGGCGCGCAAGCGAGATTTCCCAAACCCGCGCTGGGAGGGACAACACGTGAGAGGTCTGCACCCCGCGCGCGGGTGGGGTGGGTGCGGTGGGGGAAAGTCGTTACAATTAATAAAGCTTCCGGGCTCCGAAATCCCTAGAATCCCGAAGGATGAGACTCGTTTCCGAAATCCCGGGCGGGAG